TGAGGGGAAGTATCTATAATAAAGAACAGGTCCTTCCAGTGGGTATGGCCTTCACAACCCTCTTCCTGTAAGTTTATTAGAAAAGAATTTTTGTTAACAGAAGTTAAATGTAACAAACGACACATCAGTCATTGGGTTTTAGGAGCTGAAATTTCTCTTGCTGTAAATTCCCCCTGTTTTAAATATTTCACTCATGGTGGCAGAGCAGGTGAAGTTACCTTCACGTTCAATTTCTCCTAATGGTGCTAATTGTTTGGTAATGATGAGGTATCCCTGCTTGGCCATTTTGGCTCCCAGAGCTTCCAGGACTCATAGGTGACTCTTCCATGTTTGAGGGGTCTGTAGGGGCCTACTTAGCCAGAGTGACTCCATCTCGATTAAACAGCCATTTTGTTTTTTATGCAGTAAAAATTAAACTGACCCTGCCCCCCACTCCCCCCCACCACCACCACCAGGAGAACTTACTTAAAAGCAAGTCTGGGAAACCAGTAAAATATTGTTGACCAGTCCCTGATAACAGAGCCCAAATACAAGGACGGGTTAGGTCATGTGGAGATAACAGAGCCCAGAATGCAAGGACGAGTCAGGCCAGGTGGAGACATCCAATCAGTAAAGCACACATACTATCTTCCTAACCACCAAAGAATGTAAACCCCATCTTTTGGGTGCCAAACTAGGGTGCCAATTCTGACCAGAGAGATAGGCTAGTTCAAACAGCTACTATAGGGTAAATTGTAATTCAATTGGCCACCCATGTGTGACCTAGCATGACTATGCAACTTTCTCTGTGTATTACAGTGTCATTGGCCAGGCTCAACCACATGGCCTTCACTCTATAAAAGCTAGTCTGTGAGGCTGGGGGTCGTTGCTTTCTCCGTAAGAGACGGCCCTGGCCGGTCGGTTTGATTCTTGGTGCAGGTGCGAAATAAAGCTTGGCTTGACCTCCGCTTTGCAGCAGTCTCGCTCCTTTGATCACGGACCCCATCAGGGTCCTTGGCTTTCTGAAATATGTCACCTATACCTGACGGTCTTAATAAAAGGAAAAAAAATGTAATTTCTCTCTTTGCATTTTGTCATTTCCACCCCGCCCCCAATACGTGGCATTGTCTTCCTCTGCATTTGAGAGTTTTTTTTGTTGCTCTCAGGCATAGAGATTTTTCTGGTAACCTCTGGACTCCTTTCCCAGCCAGTCTGCACACTTCCATTGCCATGCTCTCTCTGTTGTAGTATCCATCACTATCCAGCCCCGGTGAACTCACTAATTACATCATGGCTCAATTACGTTGGTCAGAACAAAGACTGGCAAAGTTCACCTTTGTTTCAAGGAGCTCTCCATCTATTGTGTGATATGATATAATGATAATATGATATAATTGAGGGATAAACTAAATGCTGGAAAGTACAGGAGGAGAACCGCTGAGAACGGTAGGTGAGAGACATTGGAGTCAAAGTTTACAAGGTTTCATTTCAGACTCTGTATTCTCGGTAGAAGTTCTAGACAGTGGTAGCCAACTTTCTGCAAGGAGGGATAGAGGCAACTTAATTTGAATTCTGGTCACAGTTATTTAAAATTGTCCCTTTAAATGAGAAGTGGCTTTGCCTGTTATATAAAAATACTGGAACCCTCAACTGCTTTGCCAAGGCACATCGGTATAGTGTGAATCCTTTACAAATGTGTTACCAGATTTTGACAAATTTTTAAGAAGAAAGCTTGCTCCCACTGAGATACTTACATTTCAGTAATAGATCTCAGAATTTGAAGCTGAGCAGATCCTGGAACTGAATGTAGAGTAGGGAACATAAGGTGTCAAGAGGTAAGAAGTAGAGTGTATTGTCAAACCTGCTCCTGAAAAGATGAGGTGTATTTACTGAGCACATGCAACCTTGGCCTGTGAATTATCAAAGAGAACGTGGATGGGACAGAACACAACTCTCTTCCCACAGTCTGACAGTGCTGAGCGTGGGGCAAGAGAATGCTTTGCTTTCTCTTTGAGACATGCTTTCATAGACACTGTGTGACATGGTCACACTGAGTAGTAATGGTGGTTAAAGACTGCTGATTTTTTAGTGTTCTTTTAGGTCTTTTAATCTCTCCAAGTGTGCCACTAAAATTTATAGTATTTAAAACGGTGCCCCTCCCCATACAATGTAGTGCATGATGAGAATCACAGTAGTACTACATTTAAAAATTAAAATGGAAGAGATCTCCTTGTTCTTTCTTCTTATCAGGTAAAAGGCTTTAACATCTCTCACCTCAAATGAATATCATCTGTTTCTTTTTTATCTGAGCCGCAGAACATGAAAGCTCATTAAAATCTGAGAAGTTTTATTAACTCTCTCTGACAGATTTCCCCTATTCTCTTCTTTATCTTCCTTGCACAAGCAGGATTATGAGGTTGCTTGATGGGTTTTTAATATTGTCATGAAAAATCTCCCTTTGGGCATGTTTGTGCCTTAGATAACATAACCTTAAGAACCTTATTCAAATGAACTTATTCAAATGAAGTGGGCAGTCACCACCGAGCCAGCTCAGCACCAAGTACATTTCAGATAAGCTCTTGCCAATCACCATGTTACCTCATTTGTAATGGAACAAAGGGCCACTAGACGGAGCTAGGGCTTAAGAAATCGCAGCTCTAAGCTGGGTGTCTTCTGTGATGGGCTATCTTATGGAAGAAGTGTTATCATTACTTCGATTTCAAATCCTACACAAACCTTACCTAACTGGGCTATTAGCCGACCCCTGTTTACTTTGTGGCCTCACACGATGATGTCTGCAATGGCCCAATTTATTTAGTCACTCAATGATGACGTCTTACCTTGGTATAGCACTTCACAGTTTAGAGCGCTGCCCCCCTGCATCATTATGTTTGATCTTCACGGTAACGCTGAGGCTTTGCTGGGCAAGAATCAGTCCCTGTATTTTGAGACTAGTAAATGGAGACAGGCTGTCTGCAATACAAATAGGGTGAGTCGGGATGGTTAACCTGGACCGTCGATGTGGTGGAGTCTGTTTTTCCCTTGTAAACATTTTTGTGTCAACTATTCATCTAGTCTGGAACTGACCAGAAGACTGTCAGCTCATTCCTTTTGTGGGGCACCATTTCTGGCCACATCCACCGAGGACATACAGTAAAAAAGACAGGTAAAAAGAGTCATGTTCAGGTGGAAATGGCCCAACTAAATGAGCACAGGAAAGCGAGCCAAAGTGTGATCCTGCCCGGAAAACTTTGATGTATGTGATTCGTTATATCAGGGGCAGGTGTGGAGACCAGTACCTCATCCTTGTGGTGTAGACAGTCCTTTACGCCAAGGCTGGGGAAGCTGCTGGCCCCATCCCTCCACCCCGAGCATTTGCCCTCAGAGGCAAGCCCACTGTTTTTGTTTTTGATTTTTAAGATTTATTTATTTATTTATTTATTTATTTATTTATTTTATTGGACAGAGAAAGCAATCATAAGTAAGCAGAGAGGCAGGCAGGATCCTGGGATCATGACCCAAGCAGAAGGCAGGGGCTTTAACACACTGAGCCGCCCAGGAAGACTGACAGTCTTGACAGTATTCAGTTTTCCTATCTATGAACACCTCTCCATTTATTTATATCTTCTCTGATTTCTCTCATTAGAGTTTTGTAATTTTTCCTCATATAGATTTTTTAAAAATATTTTTATTTATTTATTTGACAGACAGAGATCACAAGTAGGCAGAGAGGCAGGCAGAGAGAGGAGGAAGCAGGCTCCCCACTGAGCCAAGAGCCTGGTGCGGGGCTCGATCCTAGGATCCTGGGATCTTGACCCCAGCTGAAGGCAGAGGCTTTAACCCACCGAGCCACCCAGGTGCCCCAAGCCCAGTTTTTTTGTTGTTGTTGTTTTTGTTTTTTTAGATTTTTATTTATTTATTTGACAGAGAGAGAGAAATCACAAGTAGGCAGAGAGGCAGGCAGAGAGAGGGGGAAGCAGGCTCACTGCTGAGCAGAGAGCCCGATGCAGGGCTCCATCCCAGGACCCTGAGATCATGACCTGAACCGAAGGCACAGGCTTAACCCACTGAACCACCCAGGAGCCCCAAGCCCACTGTTTCGATGTCTGTCAGTTTGCTCCTATTAACAGGTTGCGCTTGGGCTAAAAAAAAGTTATGCATATGTACATATATTTTCTTGCCCTTTTGTGAAAGTAGATGCTGGAGAAGGCTGGCAATCAGGTCAGTCACTCAGCAAATTTATCAAACGTCCAGAGCCTGCATTTGTGCCTTTGGTTATCTTGGCAACTCAAGACCGTTCTTCGGGAACTCGGTCAGGTGGTCACTCTGCACGGCTGACCTCTTAAAATTCAACTTTTTTTTAACTACTGGTGGAACACTGGCAACTTTCACAGATGAGGCTAACAAACCCTAAGGAGAGGCGGGAAGGTGTTCCAAGAGGCTCAGAGCTCCCAGAGGCTCCGGCCTGAAAGAGACTGAAGGAAGAGACTTATAGGATCATGTCCTCCCAGGACTCGTGGTGACCTTGTTTGAAGTGAATCCACCAAGGACAGGGCTCAGAACGCCTTCCTCTCCACTAGCCCAAGGCGCATCCCGAACCCATCGCGGGGCTGTGCCCAGAGGGTGGCGCTGCTAACCCAGCCTCGGCCCACCGTCGCCAGCAGCTTCCAGGCAGCTGCGGGAGCCCCCCGCTAGCTTCCCGCAGGCCGGCGGGGGGTGGGGGGCGCAGCGCCCGGTAGGGGGCGCCCCGTCCCAGGCGCCGGGGCTCCCTCCGCCCACCCGGAAGCGGCTGCGGCGAGGCGAGCCCCGCGCGAGTGCTCTGCGAGGCGGGCCGCAGGGAGGGAGGCGCGAAGAGGGCGCGAGGGTGGCCGCGGGAGGGAGCCGCCGCCCCTGGCCGCCCGGGTCCCCGCGGGGCGCATGGGGCGCTTGGAGCTGGGATCGCGCGAGGGCCCGGCGCCCAGCTTCCTGCTGCCGTGAGAAGCCGCGCCGGGACACCCCCAGGACTCCAAACTGCCGGGAGGATGACCATGGCCGGGGGCAGGAGAGGACTGGTGGCCCCGCAGAACACGTTTCTGGAGAACATTGTCCGGCGGTCCAGTGGTAAGAGGTGCATTCGGATTTCGGTTACCCAGGCTTTTTATCCGTGCCTCGATTGCCGCCGCCTCCCGCCGCTCGGCGCCAGCAGATGCAGTAGGACCCGGAGCTTTGCTGGGAGCCGCGGCGCGGGCGCCCGGGGCTGCCTCCCGGAGGCTGGGCTAGGTGCGTAGGGTGGGGCGAGGTCTGTGGGCCCCCGTCCCAAGAGGAGAGCTCTGCTGGGGACGCCTTTAGGGCTCTTCTCGCTTCTTCTCTGTCTCCTCTCCAGAGAGCGTGATAGCTGATGGGCAAAGTATTGGGAAAAGTGATGGGAAGCCGGACGCGGCAGGAGCGGCAGCGCGCTCCGCATCGGCACTGCCCACCCCTCCGCCGAGGCTCGTCGGGCTCCGGCTGCACCCCGGGCGCCGCCTCTCCCCAGGGAGAGCCAGCAGCAGAGAAGGCCACTCGGGTCTGCGCCCCCGAGGGATGGGGGCGGCAGTTGCTTCCACCTTCCATCCGGCAGCAGAAAAGTCCGAGGTGTGGGGACGCGGAGATACAGGGACTAGCTGCAGGTTACCCGGTTCCACCTCTTCACCCACCCACCCTCTTGGAGGTTAAGTTGAGGCTCCCGAGGGGCAGAGTTTCCTGGACTTATATGGGAAATGGAGCGCATAGGTGCAGAGCTGGCCAAACGATCACAGGAGCAAATCTGCCGTATAGTTCCTCTCTTCCAAACCTCAGCGGTGTTTTATGCCTATAAATCTTGCTCAGCTCTCCATTCCCAAGCTCACCAAGTGTGTCAGTCTATCCCTTACCCAGTAAACCAGTGTTCCCCGCTCCTCTCTTTCTCTGTGGCATTAAGAGGGACCGTGTCGTGAAGCGCTAGACTGTGAGAGTTCTAGCAGCAGGGATGGAAAAAGAAATATTTCGGATACCTTTAGGACCCACAGCAAAGCATCCTGGCTAACGCGCCTGGCAGAGCAGTTAGGAGGTGGCATCTGGAAGGTGCGGTGCACACCCTTTCGTCAAAGGGCTGGATGGAAAGGGGCCAAGAGCGGAGATATCTTCACGGGCTCTGGGACTCCTCTCCTTCCAGATGCAGATGATACGAAGAGTTGACTGAGGAAATAGGTTTTAAAAATGCGGAAATAGCGCAGCTTTAGAGCTTTAAGGAGGAGCTTGTGTTAAAATCATGGGCTTCTATTTGGATTTAGTTAGGGATTCAGGGGAAGAGCGTGAAAAGTGACTTATGCCTCCAAGAAATACTCTTTAATTAAAAAGTGTTGTAAGGTTAGCTTGCAACAAAAAACTTGTCAACTATGATAACATATTATTGTAGATTATTTAAATATTTTAGAAATGATCCTTTATCGTGTGCCTCTGAAGAATAAGAGTATTGAAGAATTTCTGGTTGGTCACCTTTCCCTTCAATGTCTTGTCCACTCAAACTTAGTGAGGTGGCTTTTAGAACAAGGTCACAGCTATGACCTGGGGATTCGAGGGGATGATAATTACTACACAAAGGGTCAAATGAACTCTTTTGTCATAAAAAAGCTAGAGGTGTTCATGCATTTTAAAAAATGAAATCACTGAGAGTTAACCTGCTGTGGTTATTGACCTGTTAGGGGCTGTGGAGACAGTCTTGCAGATTTGGGGATCCTAGTGTGCCTGACACCCAACTTTCTCATAAATATCAATGACAGTTCCATTTTTTGGGGGGGGAGTGTGGTGTGAAGAGGCTGTGTTCTTTAAGGTATAGGGGAAAGCTTATGTTTAATGTGCATCATATAATATTTTTGAGTGGAGAGAGAGGTAAAAATCTTATATGAAACAGTCATAAGGTTCATTGGGCTTGTAGGAGGACCTTAAGAATGGTGGAACCAGGGGCACCTGGGTGATTCAGTCCGAGGAGTGTCTCACTCTTGGTTTTAGCTCAGGTCCTGATCTCAGGGTCCTGGGATCAACGTCTGTGGTGGGCTCCCCACTCAGTGGGGAGTCTGCTTAAGGATTCTCCCTCCCTCTGCCCCTTCCCTGCTTGCACTTTCTGTCTCTCTTTCTAAAATAAATACATAAATCTTAAAAAGCAAAAAGAATGGTGAAATACCACACAAACATAAAATGAATCTCGGAGCTGAGATGGCAGAATACTCTAGTTGATTTTCTTAGAACCACTTCTCTCTAAGCATATATAGAATGTCAATAGACTAAGTAGCTGGGAATATTTTTAGTGTTGCCATTTTAATTTCAGCACCAATTCCAACAGCTTGACTTCAGTTAACCACCCAACCAAAGGACATCAACAACACAAACAAAACATCCTAGGAGAGCTGGATGAACTTTTTAAATTATCTATTATTTCAGAAGAAAATATTCTGGTCTTGACACGTGGGATATAAGCTTTTAGTGATCCCTTTCACCACATTTCCAAAACACAAATAGAAGAAAAATATGTGGACTCATGGAACTATCACAATATCTCCATGCATTATTTTATTTTACTGTGATGGAAAAAGGTCTATTTAAAAATATTGATTGTCTCCTCCCCAGATCCACTAGCCTTTTTTTGGACATTACAGTATTGAAATAGCAGTTTACCTTTAAATAGCAATACTTTTTGGATCATCTTAATTAAGCATTTTCTCCCAGTGGTCTTATTGCAGTATTTTTGTTCATCTATTACAGATCAGAAAACAGCCCTAGGAATAGTAAATGACTTATTCAAAGTGGGAGGCACACAGTGCCTGACGCAGGAGGTCTTTGGAGGCTATCATTCATCATTGTTTTTCCAGCCATAAGATTTAGCATGTGTAACTACTGTTATCCTTCAAAAACAACAAAATAAAACAACTACTCTCATTATATGTTTATGGATAATAAAACTGGCTTTGTCTTGGGCCATTTGAATATCTGGTGTCTGGAATATTATAACCTGTAGGGTTTGCTGCTATGTTGTCTGCCTCTCCTTCCCCATCTTTGTATACATGAAGAAAGTGAAGCAAGCACATTTCCTCAAATATTTAAGGGCAGAGCTGTTGAGACCCAAAGTCCCTTGACCCCAGTGTCATATTCCTCACGATACATTCTGCAACGACCTCCTTGTATTACCATTATGTTCTCTAGAGAAGCTTAATTTCCCAGTGGAGACTGAATAAAAATGTTATAACAACAAGAACACATCCATTTTGGCTAACATCCACACTGCCACATCCAAACAGAGTAACAGGGCAAAGGAGAAGCTAATTCTTTTAAGGGCAGCAGTTTCACCTTTGTCCATGGGTTAACTGAAGTCATCTGCAGGGTAACAGGCCCTTACTGATTCAAGCACCTGTTATAAAGTATTAAATAACTTGGATCCTCATATGCAAGCAGAAGAGGAGCAGTGTCTCCATTTTAGAATTTTAAGACCTGAGAATCTTGGGACACCTGGGTGGCTCGGTCAGTTAGGAGTCTGCTTTCACCTTAGGTCATGATCCCAAGGTCCTGAGATTGGGTCCTGCATCAGCTCCCTGCTCAGTGGGGAGCCTGCTTCTCCCTCTCCTGCTTCCCTTGCTTGTGCTCTCTTTCTCTCAAATAAACAAATAAAAATCTTAAAAAAAAAAAAAAGAATCCTTAAGTAATTTACCTCTAGTTAGTAAAAGGCAGAGTTAGAAAATGCAGTTAGAGGCCTGTCAGGGACTAGTCAGCAGCTGTGACAGGTTTGTTCATTTGAAAAGGACTTATTGAGCCCATTTCTTGAACACTGGGGATATAGTGGGAATCCAGAAACCCTCCTTACCCCTTAGAATTCTACATTCTAATGAAACTTGGTCCAAGCACCTTTCCACAGTGTTTCTGGTTGGAGCTCTTATTTAGGCCTGACATTGTGTTTAAAAAAAATTTTTTTTTAAGGTGTTTAATTGTCCTTGATGGGACTAAAATCTAGTTTAACTTTTTGTGAAGACCATTTGGAGGAGAGATTTAGTAATTATCTGTGGTTTGGATAGTTGCAAGTGGTTAGCAGGAATAAGTGACTATGCCCCAGATTTTGCTTATGGTCATGTCAGTGATCATTTCAAATCCTCCTTTTGACTTTCTAACCAGCCTGTTTCTCTTTATATTCATGATTGGAAAGTGTTTTTCCAGAATATTTTTTGATGGTTGCTTAAATCCAGGCACTTACTCTCTTATGAAGGCTGGCAGACTTTAGTGCCAGAAAACTACAAAAATATTACCCTAAATGGTCCCATCCTAGGCAGAACATATGTTTTAATGTTCGGAAACCTGTATCAAACAATTGTAGGTGCCAGTAAGAATCCATGCACATTAGCAGGAGTGAAACGTAGCACATTCTGGTACAGATTTCTGTACATGTATAATTTACAGATTGCTAAATCAGCTGTGTTTTTGTATAGTGTTAAGTTGGTTCAGGTTGTTGATATAATTAGTATACAAACAGGATGAAAGCCGCGGGTAATGTTGTGTCTCCTAGATATGTTGAGCCACGATAATATTTATAAAACAGAAAACTGGTTAAAATCCATTGTTGCTCTGAAAGGGGACTAGGTGGTAATCTGGATTATTACCAGCTCAGTGGAGCCTGTTTTTTTTCATGTAATGTGTTCTAAGATAACCTTCAGCCAAGGCTCCACTCTCTTGCTCTGAAAGCGTCAAAGAGTTAATTCTGGTGATTGATATCAGCTCGAAGATGGGGAGGATAAAGGCTTCTGAGTTAACGTGAGGCAATAACATTTCCATACTCCATGGTTTTTATGAAATCCTTCTATTTTGATAATCGATCATAAAAGAAGAAAAGCATTTGAGGAGCATTGTGGACAATTTGGATCTTTGCCTTTGTTCTGACACCAGCTCTTCATTTATGATTGGGCCTCATTTGACAGTGGTTTCTCCAGCATTACGGTGAAGTTCCTCAGTTTCCCCCCCATCCCCACCCCCGCCTCCGTCCTTTATTTTTGGTTAGTTAATGGCTTGTATGCAAACCCTTAAAAAATACTTGTTATTTTTTTTAAAGGAACAACTTTTGTGAAGTG